ATCAGGAAACCTAGCTAGGAGTAAACTAGTACCAGGATCCGTCACCGTCGTGGCATAAAACTGGTCGCATGGTGGCAAATCTCCCTCTGATCCACAAAGGACGTAAATGCCTGTGGTGGTGACGACCTGGGCCAGACTTTGGCCCGGTTGACTTCGGGACTTCAGGGAACCGCAGTGGCTAAACCAGCAAAACTCCGAAAAAATGGAGATTATTCTGGGTCTCGCACAACCTTTGAGGACGAGCCATCCAAGTATCCAAGTAGGTAACATTCTCTTACTGCGCTGATGTTCCTTTAGTATGCTTTACTAGTGTATTTAAGCTTTCCTTAATGAACTAATTATGCGTTGTGTTATGTTATTGCATCAGGTTCTGTGGAAATTAATACAGGACTTTAGGCCACCGGCTTCAAACTGGCGTGTCTCGGCTCAGAATAAGCCTTAATAGTGAGAATAAAGCTATGAGAACCTACACATTTTTGCCAACGATAAGGAAATTTTGCTTAAACCAGATAACCGAAATTCTAGACTTCTGGAGGAGACGAAATCGTTGAAGGCGTCGGCTCGGTTCCTGAAGAATGTTTCGCATAAAAAGTTGTCGAGATGCCTAGAAAAGTGTAGTGAAAGGCAAGAGGACTGGCGAGGATGTCGGTTGAGCATAGCTCAGCAGCACAACTCGTTCAACCACTGCGACCATCTTTCGACTTTCCAATTTTCTTTAGGCGCTTCGAAACAGTTGTGATGGTTACACCGAGTTCTGCAAATTCTCGATCAGTCATACATGTATTTGCTTCCAAAGTTTTCCCATAATAAAAGTGCATCCACGATTCTTTTAATGGTGGAATTCGCTTCAACGAAATTTTTGAAACCAAAATTGGACTACTTATTCGTCAACAGTTTGCTGGGACACTACATCTGAGCTTGAATTTGTTTGAGTAAACTTGTCGCAACTACTATTTGGACATTTCAACTTCTAACTCTCAAAATTTGTCGAAAACGCAATTTGTATTGTAATTCAGTTATTATGTTTATTTGTTAGCCGATTCGACGCCATGTATAAATAACACTATGCGAATCCCAGGGCTTGCATTCAATTCGTTTCCTCGCCTCTACCATCCACGAAGGTCTTCGCACTGTTTCGCGTGTGGCTTCGCCTACCGCCTGAGGATCTTTCGTTTTCCGCTGAATGTCATTGAATACTAGTGAAGTCGATTTTTCTTAGAATCGTTGGTTGGCCTTCTAAGGCTTCATAAGTGGATCAGAGGAAGAGGTTCCTTTCAGACAAGACTGCTACCAATTTCACAACCCTGGTTGGACGAGAGGCCTAGTGGACCCGGAGCGGAATAGAGCTACCGCCTAGAGTTGGTTCTGCTGCCCGGCCAATGGACGACACTACTGGTAGTCAACAGGTAGCCTTCACAGTGGTCGAGAACAACAGTCGATGCAGCAGTTATTCGCTGCAAAATCCGTAATTCACCGTGATCCAACATCCAATATCGTTTAGGGAGTTCTTTTGAAGAAATGGGAAACTTGCGAATCGTTGAATGGTATCATATGCTTTCGACCTGATTTTTACAAGCATTCTATGCGTTCTAGGGGAATCTTCCGAATGCACTGTTGATTTCAACAGTTGATTAATACGAAAAACTGAGCATGACTTAGGCAAGAAAGGAAAGTACCCCTGCAGTAGATCGTCAATATCTTGGCGCCAAATGTTGCCTTCTTCATAATAATGAAATCCCTTTCCGATCAATAATTATAGATTCTCGTCCTGTTTTGATTTATGTGGAACATATTCACGAGCGTTCTCATGGTTTTCTTGGGCAGAGCTTTTCGATGAAGCTCCTTGGTTTGGAGGTTAAACTGTTGGTCTTAATTTCGCTATTGTTGCAATGATCATAATGTTGACATTGCTTTCATCACCTTATCTTGTTACCGCTATTCTTGAAAACGAGCACAATGTTAAACGAAAGTAGTAGCCAGTCAATTTTCAGGAGGATCTGAGCCTGTGGTACGCCAGCAATGTTTTCACCACAAACCTAGCAGGTTAGGTACAAGAATTTTACAGAGTTACAGGTTGTCACTATCATCATTATTGTTAATACTGTCCTTAAAGTTATTATTAGTTATTTCCATCAGTATTAGACCTTGACTTATATTATCTCCGAGGTTATGTGACGCTTCATATTCATGGGCGCATAATTTTATTACTATGCATTCACCATCAATACTACCTACCACTGTTACAATTAAAACCACTATTGTTATATATTGGATTGTATTATTAGCTTTTAATATTGGCTGTTATATTACTAAATGTTATTGTTGGTATTTTCATGGTTGATTTCATTTCACCACCCGAAACCATATACTGTCTGGATTCCGGTGTGAGGAACATGAGGTTCCGCTGTTGTTAAGCATCTTTGGTCTTCTTTACGAAATCACAATGTTAACTTTTTATTTACCGTCCACCATAATTTTTTTTTTTACAGCGGGGTATTATGTGAGATGCAATAACAATGATGCTGAGATATCTGCAAAACTGGATCCGCAGGTGTTTGCGGTGGTGATCTAACCCGCTACTACCCTTTCAGGAGGCTGATGCGTTCACCACTACACCATGCGGATCCTTCGTTTCCAATGAGACTGATCTGGGCAGCACAAATCTGCAATGAGCATTGGCATTGATTCTTTACAAATGTGGTTGGATGCCGGTCGAACCGATACTACTTCGAATAGCCATTTAGGGTGTTCCAGATGTACAACACGATCAGTTAGCACCCTGAAAGTGATTTGATCCCAGGCGAGTCTAGTACAAATTCCCTAACTGGTTGCTTGTCGACTTTTCCCATGCTAATGGCAAAGCTAACTTATTTCAGTTAAATCCAAACTGCCTCCCTGCACTTCAAACTGACTTGATTGCAGGTCGCTTTCAGGGTACAGTCGTGCACATATGAAAATACATACACATTTGTATGAATAAGCACATTTACGTCCAAGTGTAAGTAGAGGACAAACCAGTGTGACACAACGAAGAGGAGGAGTGCATTTTATAAAATTAGCTGTGCTTCAGGGCCCGTACAATGCAATTTCGCTCTTAGTCGGTTTTTAACGTTTAAGGTCAAATGTGAGTTAATTTCTACTCACGAGGTTCGAGAATAACGTCCGCTTTCAACGTTAAGTTAACACATCACAGCTCAAGGGGGACTTTTATTGACTGTGATAGAAAGTGTTAAGCTCTACAATTCTTCATCTATGAGATACAAGCTCTCTTTTTTATCGCAACGAAGTTTTAATTTTTGGGAGACTCATCAAACATATTGTGCTCACGTTCCTTCATCAACTATCGTATTTCGAAAACGAAAGCAACTGGAAAAGTCCATTAGAACGCGATGATGTCTCAAAATTCATTTCCCACGTCTATGGTTGCCAAAATTCCACTTGGATCCTAAGAATTTCAAATTCTACCATTCTCCCGGCCAGTCTACCTCGACGGTGCCGTCAGCAATCACCTGTCAACAGGAAAGATCTACGCAGCACAAATCGGCGTTGAACCCAGTTAAGCTGAGAGTGCAGTCGAAACCATAATGCTTAGCCTTCTATTTACCGCCTATTATTTTTTCACTGTGATGTATTATGTGGAATACAACCACAGTAGTCTGGCATCGGGTCTTGTTTTGCAAATATCTCAACTTTAAAGAGAGTGCGTGCAGCGCAGTGGTTGGAGGCGTCCTGCAATACACAAGGGATCGATCCCTGCGCCCCAGGCTCACCAAGCCCTCCATCCCTCTGGGCTCAGCAGATTGGTGCCAGACGTGTGTATTTTTGTGTGTGTGTGTCTTCCGACAATCGGTACCACAGCAATGCTTGCCGTCTGTGATACTCGTTTACAGAGGTTGAACAACGTTCCAAGCATCACAGAGATCTCTTTTTCATAATAGTGTTCATATGCATGTTAAGATCATCCAGTTTCAAACATGGCTGGGAAATTTTGCCCTTTGTTTGTTTCCAGCTAACCATTCGTTATTCTATTCGATTACTGTTCGTTCGAGATCAACAAAAACTACCTGTGGACAAAGCCTTTCACAATTAACTTGGATACAACATCAACAACTTTTCACCTTTAACAATTATGCGCTTGTAGTGCAGTGGTTAGAGGTGTGCTGCAATACACATGGCGCCAATCCCGTTTCCCTGGCTCATAAAATTGTCTGGGAGGATAACAGCACTAACTCGATACATCGGTAAACTACCGCGAGTAATTGTATAAGCCAGATATACATTCAGTCACCTCCAACGTTGTTTAGTGAAGTCGAGTCCATGGTGCAACCCTCATGGATTGATCAATGCTGAGAGCTTTATCATCCTTTTTCCTACATTTTACAATTCTGCGGTTATCTGTCTCCTGTAATCCCGTTGTCTGTCGAGTGACTTGAGCTGGCGCCAGTAAATCTTCCATTTTTACCTGTCTCGTGGAAGAGTAGCCCAGTGGATTCTGCTCGCTCTAGGGACTCGTCGAGCAATTCTACAACAGTACGATATTTAAATAGCGCACGCACATATGTCGTGTGGACCAATCGCTTCTTAAATTCGTTGTGGTGTTTAGAAAATACCACCCATTGGAGGGGTATCTCTGTAGATTTGTTTGGAGCTTCAGTATGATGTCTGCCGTTTTCCGTCACTGACATAAGAACTGGTCGAAGATGGTTATCACCAGTAGTTCTTCCCAGGAAGAAGTTTGCTGCCTTACAATTAGACTTGTTCCAGCACTATAGCGACTACCCTTTCATTACATTTCCCACCGATTGCAGATGTTTAGGCAGGCCAGTTTACCTAGGAGTGTTATTATTGCAAACTAAAAGTTTTTGAATGAATCTGTTAATGTGCAACTTCTATCTACTGCCTATTATATTTCTGTTAAACTGTTAATATTTGGACCTGCACTATGTTCATAGGCTTTCTGAAATCTTTGTGAATTCGGTTTACTTTTGTGTCTTCTTTTTATGATTCATTCTTTTCTAGCTCTCAATTGGTTACCTGCACCGACTAATATCAATCTTCTTGACAAGACCAACACATCTTTAGAAATTTCGTGGATTACACCGGTCATTCAGGAGAACAACCACAATGCCATCATCAATCAACATTTGGTTGGCCCTCCTTTTTGAGTTTTGTGCTTATTTAACAAATTTTCAATGTCTTTTTCAAAATATTAGACGATATTAACACTTGTCTATTTAAATAGATAGATCATCCGTGTTAACGATTTGTGTGGCTATCGGCTTATTTTCCACCGTTCCATTCAATCGCCGTCATCGTGTATAGGTGCGGTCTGTTCTTTGCATGATTGTCCTTTGCTCCGATCACTACTTCATGATCTCGTGTCGTTCTCCGAATACACGTTGCTAATGTGAGCTACAACTCTTGCATTTACTTAGAGTTCACTCTACTGTGCTTGTGATAAGGAGAGTCGAGAACAGATAGAATACATGACCCACCCATCCATAATTTGCTATCGGCGTCCACCTAAAGGAGATATTTACGAATATCTGAACTGAATGTTCTAGCTTGACATCGTTTGCTTCGTAGTGTTACAGAAAACAGCGTTAAAGCGCTTCGTGGACCGTGGTAAAGATCTTTTCTTTTACGTGTTTAAGGGGTAGATCAGGCCCTACCTACTGTGCAAATTACGTGGAGGGCTGACGAATTGGAGATAAATGTGGAAATTTGTATTGGTTATCTTATGAACCCTCTTGGTGAGCTTCTGTGAGGTTGTTAACACGTATTTTAATGTTTGATCATTAACGCTTCTGCGACTCTCCCTTCTTCATCGTCTAGACATATTGATGCATCCTCATCCTTATTAGTTGATGAATACTCTATATTCTTAATGAAAACCCAATTTATAGACTAAATTGAGCATTCTTCTGTTAAAAAGCACTGGCCGTTTTTGTTTTAAAGACTGAGACCACCCGTATATACCTCACATCCGATGACGAATGAACGTCATTCATTCCTTCGAAATGTGTGCCAAACAGAAACAGGCATGTGTACAAGAGAACAGGATGGCAAGGAATCGCTATGCGTGATACCACGAATAGCCCCTCCATCTTCAATGGCTACCAGGCAGCAATTAGTCAGGTTGGGTTTAAGGCAAGAGCTACACCCGTTTTTCGGATTGTATCAGTTATCTTGGCGTCCTCCACTTCGTTTATCATTGAGTAACCTAGATGCAGGTGAAATTTAGCCTCTACGTTTTTTTGCATCAGCTCAGTTTCCGAGTTTTTCAAAATCGGCTTCTTAATTAACTTTTTTTCGGGTTTTGGGTGAGAAGCTGAAAAACTGTTTAACCTCCACGATTTTGCTGTGTGACTAATTCATATGCATCTTGTAATTCGACGTACACACCACCCTGTTAGGACAAAGTGGGGAGAGTTACAGAAAGTAATAATAATGGTGGTGGTGGTAGTGTCCTTACTTTTATTTACGACCTGTTCTTTTTTCATGTAAGGTAGGATGTGGAATACAAGAAAAGGATGCTGAGATATGAGGAAAACAAGGAGCCTCAGGTGAACTTTGAGCGTGCGACTACTTCCATCGAGGTTCACACGCTATCCACCACACTAAGTGAACCCGTTGATTTCTCTATTCCTCAGCCTGTTTTCGCGTACCACATAGTATCTTACCATACAGAAAGAATAGGCAATAAATAAAAGTTAAACGTTGGGATTTCGACTGCAGCTCGAACTTAACTGGGTTTCATGCCGATTAATGCTTCCCAGATCATTCGAATTGACGGGCGATTATTGATAGCACCGGTAGAGTAAAGAATTACTTGAGAGGAAGACAAAATAGGGACCTTGGTTGGTGTAGTGAATAGCACATGAGTCCCGGAAAGATTAATCTTAGGTTGGAAACACAACTGAGGTCCAGAGTTTTACTCATATTTCGGCGTCCATGTAGTGGTGATATTAACGCCTAAACCAGCAGCAGTAGCAACAATAAATGGTAGGAATTAATAATAGCAATTAATACTGATAATGAGCAATAATAATATTAATAGTAATGGTATTCACCACCTGAATAACTTGTCGTCCCCATGATCGCCGAGCGAGTTGAGTGGGCGCCAGTAAGTCTCCCATTTTACGCTGTCGCGTCCAAGAGCAGCCCAGTGGGTTCTTCTCGTCCTAGGTATTCGTTGAGCATCATATCGTTCTTTTAGAGTTTTCTTGAAGAACTCTGACCATCGCGTCGGTGGCCTTCCTGCAGTGCGTTTGACATCCCGTGGAATAGAGTCAATAACGGCTCTTTTCCGACGGTTGTCGTTCCTGCACATTATATGTCATGCCCACTTTACCTTCGACAGTTTGGCGTAAAAACGGCGTACGTGGTTTTGTGATTGTTGACATAGTTCGGAGCTTCGCATTCGTTTCCTCACATGTATGACACAGGATACTCCTAGTATCGACCTTCGACTGTACATCCAACAACGCTGAGTGATCTTTCATCTTGCTTACCTAGCGACCAGGTTTCTGAAGCATACGCTAAGGCAGGAAGAATCTTATAGTCGAAACGTGACCACGGAGTCACGTGTTCTTTGTTTTCTTCACTATTTCCTCGATGCTCTTGAAAACTCAAGCGGCTCGTTTCCTTCTGCTCAGCTCTGGAGCTAAGTCGTTCATTATGCTGATTTCCCGACCAAGATAGATATAACTGGAGGATATTCATTCCGTTCATTGCGAATGGAGCATACGTAACCAATCCATTCTTCATGAACATCGTTTCTGTAAGATTTATTCGAAGACCGATCCTTCAACAGGGTTTGTCAAGGTCGTCAATCATAGGTTCCGCTAATGTTTGGTGTTATAAGGACGATGTCATCAGCAAAGCAAAGATGGTGTAACTGCCGACCATCGATTTTCACTCCCATATTATCCGATTCCAATGTTCGCATGACGTCCTGGAGGGTGGCGGTAAATAATTTTGGCGCGATGGTATCGTCTTGCTAACTCCTCCTTTGACGTCAATGTTAATATCGTTGTAGAATGGTGTTATCTTGGTTGTGAAATTTTTGTACAGCTTACGAAGAATCTTTATGTACTGAGTAGGGACTCCCTGATTATTAAGGGATTATGAAAGTGAGACAGAGCGAACTTTTATACTCTCTCGATACCTCAATGAGTCTTGTTATCGAGTGGATGTGGTCCATTGTACTAAATTCCTTTCCCAAGCCTGCTTGCTCTCATGGCTGCCCTTCATCCAATGTTCTGTCAATCCTGTTGAGGATGACTCGAGTGAAAAGTTTGTAGACGGCAGACAGGAAGCAGATTGCACGGTAGTTGCCGATTTCGTGGAGGTGACTTTTCCGGAACAATAACACGGTCTTGCTAATCTTCCATTGAGTAGGGCCCTTGCATTCAGACAGCTAACGTGTGACGAGCCGAGCCAGTGTGTTTACGAGAACTGATGGAGGGTTATTCAGGTGTTCAGATCTTATCCTAGTTGGACCTGCTGTTGTTCGATTTTTCACCGGCGAAATAGAAGGTCGGGTTTTTGAAGAGAGAACCGGTGGTACAACATGTCTATCCTCTATTTCCTTGTCTATCCTTTATTGCATGTGACCGAAGGTGGACGTGGCAATCGAAGAGATCTGAGTAGTATTCGTGAATGATTTTCTCTATTGCCTTTCTGGACGCTGTAACCGTTCCGTCTGGGTGTCGGAGTGCAATCATCTTAGTCTTGTAATTGGCAAAGCCTTGGTGGGCTTTGTGAATACTTTTCCTGCCTCTCCGCCTTCGACTATAACTGCTGCTCGCCTCTCTTTATGATCTACTTTTATAATTTGTATGGATTGTTTTGTAAGTTCGGACGTGAGCTGTCTGTTGCCTGAGGCTCGTGCGATTCCACGCTGGCGTATCAGCTCCTGAGTTTCTGGAGACAGACGTCTCTTGGTGGCTTGAGAACTCTCAGCTTTCATAGCACTAACGTGAAGATGTCGAATGAGCCGATTATATTCCTCGTCGATGTTGTTGCAAACGGCATCTTCCCAACAGTCGTCTAATGAATTGAATAAATCCCAGTTAATGATGGTCTTGGAGCTTCGTTTTTGGAAATAAGCGGCTTTTTCCTTTTCCTGCTGGAAATGAAATCGTGCAGAAAGAAGGTGATGATCTGATCCCGTCTAGAATTTGGTGACAACAGGGATATCGATTGGGCAAAATCTCCGATCTGATGTGGATTTGCTTTGATGTGGTCTATTTCGTTATGGTATTCCCCACTGGGAGACTCCCACGTGCAGCGGTGAGGGTGGAGCATTTGGAATTGTGAGTTACTATGAATAGTCTTGGTCGTTGTGACAAACTCAGACAGCCGCTCACCGGCTCGTTCCATTTGTTTCATTCCTCTCCGTTCCATTCCTTTTGTTTCCTTTTGTTTCTCCGAAAATAGCATTCACCGTTTCAAAAGACACGTAAATTGGCAGGATAGAAGCTATTATTATAGGTAGCCCTCTCTTCAAGCATGAATCCTTAGAAAAATCTTATTAAGAGCTTAGATTTTCGATAATGTGGAGTTGTAAAGCGGGGTTTATATTTTCAGTACTTTGGCAAATATCTTATATAAAAAGGATTATTTTATAGTTTCTTTTTTTCCTACAATACCATTCCAACAGAAGAGCTTTAAGGTTCATGTGTATGAGTTTCTTTCGTCATCAAAACTGCTCACAAAGAGGTTTTCTCTAACTGTTCCTATACCGAAGACCACGTACTCGATTGGCAAGCTTTCTCCAGGCTCCGTTTACAACATTACAGTTCAGGTCACTTTTTCAAATATGCTTTTTCTACTATTCATACGTATTCTGGATAAAAGTGCCTATGGCCCATAGAGTAACGTGCACGGTGCCTTTCTCGGTTTTTCCTACGGTGTCAAAATGACCGTTTCTATTTCGTTTCAGGCTTCTTCTTTTTTCCTACTCCACAGATATTTGCAGGCTGGAACAAATTACGGCTATGGAGCTATGGGATGGGCTGTTTTTTCAACACTTTTGAGGAACGAAAACGGGTTTGTTCTGAAATTGCGAATGAAAACACCAAATGCTCTGACTGTGGGATGGGATCCACATTGGCTGCCCACTCCTACGTCTAAGTTCACGGTAGGAAAAGAAATAAACGAGTCATTCCGTTATCATACTGAGCACTTATTTATTGGAATGAAGACAAAGACATTCGAATAAAGTAGGAAACAATGCAGAATGTTCTTTCGTTTTTCCTTTTTCCCGATAAAAAAACATTTCGAGGAACGAAAACTATCAGAGCACGTTCAGTCAATCCTAAGTGCTCATGTTTTACTGCGTATGATTCATCAATCGCAGGGTTTTAGAGAGCTTATTACTTGGATAATTAGGTACTTGGATCTCCCTTCTTCATTGTGCAGGTCCCAGCATAATTTCTGTTTTTCGGAATTTTTGATACTTTAGCCATTTTGCTTCCCTGGAGTTCCGAGATCAGCCCCAGGTGGTCACCATCCCAGGCACCCGCTCTAGTGGATCATAGGGAGATTTGCCACCATGCGACTAGTTTGATACCAAGATGGTGGTGGATCCTGCTACTGGTTTACTCCTAGCTAAGCTTACTGATTGAAACGCCGGTCTTCTCAGCTTGGGAGACCCTACTGGAGAGGTGAAGGCTCCCGCTGTATATCGCAGTCCGACACCCAGGTACGCCTGGCTGTGATGAAGCGGTGAACCGATGGGAGGAGAGGGCTTATTATCTTGCAAAGTTGATGTTCATTCTTAGCAACAATGTAGGACTGTCTTATTCCAGTACTTTATGCCTTAGAGATATTTTAAGGAGAGCATCGTGTTTCAAAGTCGTTAATCATGTTAACTTTATGACCCTAGTACGCATAATTGTAGCACGTGCAGAAATGCATTATGTTGGGCGTGAATCGGAAACAAGACTTTCATGAACGTCGTTTTTTTTTTTGAGATTCGGTAAAAGAGTAGTTGTTCACCGTTGAACATTGTTCATATGGTCGTTCATCCTGACTGATGTTGCGGTTGTAATAACGATATCATGGGCAAAGCACAGGTGGTGTAGTTGTGGACGACCGTTTTTTTCCACCATGTCCTTTCATTCCACTTTTCGGTTAACGCACTCGAGATGGGTTGTAAACAGTTATGCAGAAATGATATCGCCTTCTCAAACATATCATTTTACTTCAGTGTTAATGCCGTTAATATTGGTTAGATTCTGTGTTTCCCTCATGTACCTCACCAAAGAATAGGGAAACCTCGGCTATACTGACCCGTCAGGATTACTTCTGTTTTCAACTGAGACTTTTTTAAATCGATGGAAGTGAGACAGCCGCTCTATTTTATTCTAAACCGCGATCCTTCGAATGTGGTTCTGGTTACTGCGTTGTAGTGGTCCGTCCTGCCGAATCCTTTTCGACCTGCTTGAGTGACTACCTTTCGCCCAGTGTTCCGTTGATTCTGTTGACGACGGCTCCAGTCAAGAATTTATATACGGCAAACTGCTGTCAAATTGTGCTATACTTGTTGATGTCGTGGATGACTCCCTTATTGTGCAATAACACTGTCATACTAGTCTTTTTTTTGATTAGGTATATTGAATTCTGACAGGTAATGTGTGAAAAGCCGAGCTAATGCGTTGATGAGGACCGATGGATGGTTATTCAAGTGTTCAGGTCTTATCCTTTCCGGACGTGGTGTTCGATTTGTCACCGACAAAATAGGATGTCGGATTTCGGAAGGGTTAACCACTTGGACTGTTATGACCATCGTCCCTAATTCCATATGAATGCAGAAAGACAGGGCCATTGAAGAGATTAGAGTAGAAACCGTAGATGACTTTCTCTGTTGTTATTCGGAAAGCTGTAACTGTTCAGTCTGGACGTTGGACTGTGTCCATCTCAGTCTTCTAATTGACGCAGTTTAGGCGGTTGTTCAATATGTTGTTCTCATCTTCGGAAACGTTTTCCGGTATTGCTTTTTGTGATCTCGCTTTATCGACTTCCTGCAGAGGGTTTCAAATCTGGACGTGATTTCACAATAACGGGCGGCGCAACCCCATTTTGACCTATTAGCTCAATTTTTTCTGGAAACAGGCTTTCTTTTGTGACTTTCGAAGTGCCCGCTTCTTTAACCCTAATTTGTCGTTGTTAAATGAACTCATCGTATTTCTAGTCCAGCGTAATGTGTTCCCCATTGGCCTCATGAATGCATTTATTATTCCATCTGAGTGCCGGCTCATTTTGGAATTAGGGTTTCGGCGGGCGTTATGGACGCTCTTCGCAGCCTTCAAGGCAATACCCCTTTTTATCTCTTCTCTGAAGATTTCTTTGCCTGAGAAAATGGTTCGGTGAGTTATTAGGGTTCATTCGATTTCGTGTTGGTTATCAGCTTGACGTATAAGCTTTCCTTCCCTCTAATGAAGGTTTTTTTCCTAATGTTAATCTCCACTGGGAGACTTCTAAGCCTAACAGTATGAGTGGTACTTCTGGAGTTGTGAGTTGTCATGGATGGGATTATCTTAAAACCGACTTTCCTCATACCTATGTAAAAATAATAATTTTCTACACGACCAAGCTGACACGAGATTGGTCTAAAAGTTCCTATTCGGCTAACGTTTCGTTGTCTTCGCTTTCTTCAGCGCTATGGTAATCCGAGCCTGTGGTCCGCGGGTGTTAGATTGGTACGCAGTTGAATCCAGTGGACGGTGCACCGCTCGAATGGGAAGCTTCACTAAGTGCCAGCCAATGAAGCACCAATTGCAATAGGACGCATTGTCTACCAAAAGGCAGATCATTTTGGATGGCGGATAGAGGTCAACATCAACGCTGTATAAAAGAACATCGCCGAGAACACCTGTGGACCTTGGTCTCGGATTAACACGTCTGTTAAGAAGGCGATGGTGTCGAAACGTTAGCGAAGTGAAAGTTTTATGCCAACCTTGTGTCAGCTCATTCACATAGAAAATTATCATGAATAGTCTTTGTTGTCGTGGTAAACTCTGACGGCTGCTCACCCTGTTCTTTATTGAATGTAAGATCCTTGCAAATTTTTCTAAGTCCACGTTGAATAAGTTTATTCAACTTTTTCAAATTTAAAATTCCGATTCGGGTGGTTAGTTGTTAAATAAAATTAGTAATCTGGTCACATATTTCACTCCTATCTAATGTTTTAATCAACATGTACTATATATATATATATATATATATATATATATGTATACATGTAGAATTCTGTAGAATGCAGAGTTGTCTTAGATAAAGGTCTTTCACATGGGAATTATTGTTGCAGATCATTGCAAAGACTTTACATTCGCCAGACAATGTCGAGAAGGAAATCCTGAACATAGGTGTCGGGGAAGTGGGCGGTGCACCGGAGTTTGTTGTTCGGAATCTTCATCCTGGGTCCACGTACAACGTTTCCATTACGACAATTGCTGAGGTGATCTCTAACTCTGAACTCACTAGAATAACTCGAAAGACCGACTTTCTATAAACCTCGGCATAGATCGTTGAAATATTTATTTACATGATCGCATAAACTGATCTTCTTTAGCTGATGCGAGGTTGGTACAGGTCTTCGTTGTCGTTGTCGTTGTTACTGATGTTATTGGTCGATGGCCGACGCCTCGGCGACTTCGTCTTCCTCAGAGCCGTGATGTTACGTGTGGTGCTCACACACTTGCACAGAGGCTTCCAAATTGGAAAGAGGTTCAACACCTTTATTTCGAGATCATATAAAGGTGAACCAGTGCCAGGACTTACCCTCGTCGTCATGGCGGCCTGGTGACAAGGCAAAAATTTTTCTGAAATCCGCAAGCACCAGAGACGTGTGATGACTTGAGAACGTTCTAGCTAGACAAATTATCTCAGGAAGCCTACAAATAGGTCGACCAGTAATAGACTAGTTTCGCATATTATATGCTCCATTCGACAGACAGTGCGACCAATGAGGTCAAATCTCGTGTTGCAGAGTGCGGCATTAGAAGGATGCACAGTGGATTCGATTTCGTTAAGCATCATTGAGAGGAATGTGCATATTTGATCTTTAATGGCTAGCACTGCCCCACCGATCCAGTATATGGGTTTTTTGACCTCTGAGGCAAATCTGCTACTAATTCGACGACTCCGGAAAAATGAAGGGTTGGGTAGCCCTTGGCATAAGGCCGAACAACCGACCATATATATTGTTGAGCACCTGTAATCACTGCGCTCCACGAGCCCGCACTGCTTGTAGAAGGGTAATTTGCGGAACGAGAAATATCTGCTATCGTCGCCTAAATATTTTTTGTAGCAAATTTTAATGCTCTATAGGCAGATCCTACAAAAAATAAATGCAAAGTAGGGAACTATGGAAAATCGGCGGTCGACATGGGAACCAAATAGCTGATGTTCTGTACACAGTACTCTTCATCCTAAAATCATTCCTCGAGGAGAATGAATATTACTGCTGGAGAGTGACACATAATGGAACGACCAACACCAAGTTGGTTTTATCCTCACGAGCAGAGAACAATCATCCATATGGTCAGTGCATGGATCGTATTCTCCGTGTGGCCAGTTGGCTAAGTTGGAGTTAGAAAATAACTCCTGTGGACGCCTGATGAGATAAAAGCTATCTGTGTATTATGGGAATGCTTTGAACGGAACACTTTCAATGCAATGCTGATAAAGCAAAGTAGACATGTGCGAAAAGAAGGAGTTGTTTATCGGAGAAGTTGAACCTGTTCCAAATACGCCTTAACTCTTGAATTACGTAGTTTGGATATCATGTCTGTACTACAAAAAAGCTGGCCAGTAAGGGAAGGAAATTGAAGATGAATGCGGACTGAGTTCACATAACATGAATGGTAATAAATGTTTGCTGCGAACGATCTTTATAGAGGAAGAGGACGAAAAAACACTTGGAAACAGTATAAGAATCAATCTGAACTTGTGCCGTTGGGACTCACACAACCCTTATAAAGAGAAGTTGAATTATTACCACCTTCTCCTACATCATTAAAGTGTTAACGGCCAAATCGTACTCGTTTGCGTTCTAGAAGAGTGCCTGTTCTAAACTCCAAAATCGTCCCTTGGCAGAGAACACCTAGAGGTTGAGTCTTAGAATTTAATGAAAACCTAGAGGTTGAGTCTTAGAATTTAATGAAAATGATAAGGAGAGATACATCTTTAAGCCTAAAAAGTAAACTTTCTTCGTTCTGGAACATGCCAATAACACACAGCATACCACGGCAAGTTGTCTTCAGGAGATCTTTCTTGTTAGTGGAGATCCTCGAATGTAATCTTCCTGCATAGTAAGGATGGTTATATGGTCGTCATAGCTGCTTGATTTGATTGCTAAGTGAAGTTGAAGGAAAAAATGCTGTGGGCAAAAATCGGCGCAATGGGTGGTTATCTACTTAGATACGCATACGTATACTTAAACCATTCCTAAACATCGAACAGGACATCAACGAATTGTTTTGCAGAAGAAATAAGACGATTAGGGCCACGATGTGACTTTCTAGGAAGCCACTTGTTAACAGCATTACCCAGAACTGTGCACTCGATTTTTTAACAGTGGTTATCCCGCCGTTATATTAAGTAACGAGATGTGAGTTGACATCTCAATCACATGAAGGGTGTAATGCAGCATTCACGAAATACTTGGACGTCTACTGTGAAAGATAAAACAAAACAGGGCTGCGTAAGTTATCTCATCCTTGAGATTTTGAAGAATACTTATCAAAAGCGAGCATAGCTAAGTCGGTCATGTGATAAGAAGGCTTATGAAGGTTGACAGAACGCTGGAATGGACACCAAGAGGATGAAAGGCTGCTTTAAAACAGCATTTGAAAGAAGGGCGACGAGTTTATTAGTCATAACAGTAAGCTGCATTCGCAGCCCTAAACGATTTCTGCATCACAGATTGATATTCGTAGAGGTGAAAATATTCGAAATAGACATTACTACTTGGGGAGAAAACGAAAGGAAAATGTTCCGAGCTCTGGGTCAATTGTGAAGACTTTGCAGGCAAACATAGAGGTAAGTGAGTGTAGTTGCTTTCCATCTTAAATGTCAACGCAGGACTGACGTTCTAAATACTATAGGTTGTGTGTCCATCTAAAATTCTCATAATTGAAGTAGAAGTATACCTGAACACTACTCGATCAATTTTATTAATTTGCTTTTACGAACTGCCCTTTTTTAGCCGACGAGCGGTTGGTACAAATGTTTTTATTGTTGTTTCTGTCTTTGTTCAACAATGACTAACGTTTCGGCAACGTCGCCTTCCCACATCGTTCCTCATGAATAGCACACGGCTAGTGCAACTGGAAACCTCTGAGGAAGGCGAAGTCGCCGGAACGTCAGCTCTTGTTGAACCAATACAGAAGCTTCTATAATGAGATATTTGCAAAACTCCGAGCCGCAGGTATCTGCCGTAGGGAACCAACGCGCTATTGTCCTTTCCGGGGAGTAACGCGTTAACCAGCACACCATGTGGGTCCTTAGTTTCGCCTGTCTTTCAGCTAGTTCTATCGATCTTTTGCCATCATCAATCACCAGTCAACGACATTGATCTGGGATGCCCAAATCGGCATTGAACCCAGTCAAGCTGAGGCTATAGTTATAATCACAATCTTAACCTTTTTATTTACTGCCTATTCTTTTTAACGGCAGGGTATGTTGGGAAATATAACTTCTATAATTGATAGAACTAGCTGAGAGACAGGCGAAACGAAGGACCCGATTGGTGTGGTGGTGAACGCGTTACTCCTGAGAAAGGACAATAGCGCGTTCGTTCCCCAACGCAGATACTTGCGGTTCGAAGTTTTGCAAATATTTTACCATTATAGAAGTTATTTTTCGCAACATACCCTCCCATTAAAAAGAATAGGCAGTAAATAAAAGGTGAAAACAGAAACAACAAGAAAAGCAAGTATATCAACCTCGGGCCAGCCATAAAGGGAACGTCATATATACAGATTTATCGATTATTATGCCGAGGTTTATAGAAAGTCGATCTTTTGCTTTATTCTTTTTCATTCGCGAACCTATGTCTGTTAAACATCTCTTGAAGACCAACTGCTTGAATAGGATTGGTGACGTTCTTCCAAAATCAAAAAAGGTTAAAGGGCTTTTCATAAATTGCTAAGAGTGTTAAGTTCAGATGGCAAAACCGCGCACACTGAAATGGGATGAAACAGTACTTCGCAAGACTGCCTGGGGTGTTTTTTCTACACTCACACAGGGCGAATACGTTGTGTCCGAACCCCGCATTGTCGTCGAGACAGAAACAGCCGCTTCCATAGTCTTTCAGCCTCTCAGACACCTTGGCGAGGTCCACTACCAGGTGACTATTGTTTTGCTTCAGAAAATAAGTTAGCGACTTATAATTTTGTCTGTGTTTTTCAAGACTTTTCTCAAACTATCCTGGACTTTTTCAGCAAAATTATAGGCTGTAATTGATTAGTTGCACTTGTAGATTTGACACTTGACACTTGAATGGCCAGTTATAACTATTTGTGCGCTCCCCAACATAATCACCATTTTTCGGAGATTTGCTGGTTAAGCCAATGTTGTTCCCGGGAATCCCGAGATCAGGCTGGCCAAAGTCTGCTCCAGGTCTTCATCACGACAGGCAGTCGCAGTATAGTGGCGGCTGCGATGGATGCACTTGCGTGGTAGTGACCGTTGAGCCGCTCGCTACTTAGTAGTAGTAGTTCAGTGGTGAGAATATTAGGTTGTAGTAAATATTAGATAGTGTGTACGGACTATCGACTAGATTTTGTCTCTGCTTGAATTTCGAAAGTGGATCTGTTTTGTGATCCTTATCATTTGATGGTTTTGCAATATAGGTATTTACCCTTTGACGTCTGAGACGCTGTGAATTGAAAGTCAAGAAATAGGTATCGTAGTTCTATGGTGCTACAATTGATCTGTAGGCTATGATTGCCCAATGAACCAACGACTTGGGTTCCACGTGAGAGTTTGGCGGTTGACTTGCTCCTTTGAATGCAGCCCCACACGGTGTTGATCTGCTGGCTTGGACGAATTGTATTTGCTCGTTCTTCGCCACGCGGGTTTTATGGTTGTTGTCTTCACAGCGTAAATCTCAAACTTGGGTAATTAAACCGTTTATACCAATATTATAATAATAACGAAAAGAAGATACTAAAAACAGTATAAGTGGCGCGTTGATAACAGGATTACCAAATAAGCGAAAGACAATAAGTAAAAAGATACCTTAAAGTAGGAGAGTAGTTGTATTGGCTATTGTGTTAATCTTAGAGAGAGCTTTCATATAAAAGTACAAATTGACCTATAGAGGTGAAGAGCATATGGTTGCGCGGGTACCAATGGGACCAGATGGTTGTTGGCGCGAATGGCATACCGTAATTAGCTACCGTACTAGTAGTGAGGAATGTGAGGAAAAAGACAATGCTTAAGCCAGTGAGGTGTTAACATACAACAAAACTACAGAATGTTGCTTAACTCTTACAGATACAATGTCATGATAAGTATGTATACTAGGGAAGATCAGTGACTGTCTGAGAGGTTCCCTACAATAAGCAGACCGCGGTCCTTTTATACTGCCTCAGGGAGCGGGCAGATGGGTACTGTTGTTGACCCTTGCGTTGTCCTCGTATATCACAATTATGGTGGCAAATGCATAAACAATATTGTGTTCCATCTGGTATTGAAAATATATGATACTGTTTATACCAACGTATCCTTTGTTCTTGACAACCTCAATTTGTGGGCAGATGCTGTTTACCGTTGGTGACCGCTCTTATTGTACTGATAGATGCTAATTATAGTTGGGTGACCCGCTATCGTTGTTGTCATTGTTGCAGATATTTAACGTTTTGTTTTCTGCCTTCTATAATTTTCATGGCAGGTTACTAAGCGAAATA